GGAGCGATAATACATGAAGGAATGAGTTCTTTTCCCTCCCCCACACACACCCGTATCGTCACAGGGGGTGACCACAGTGTTCTGCCTTAATTTGTGGCGTTTTTCTAAGAACTGGCTGCCATGTACTGTGCGAAATCAATCGATCTTGCAAGAATAAAATTTGGACATCCCTCTTCTAAGAATTCCAATTGAGTATGTTAGTGTGGCCAGCTCAGGGCAATATGATATTATAAACACAGCACATATCACGTCTCTGCTGTTTATAACTTCATAGGAAAGAAAACACGCCATTCATAACAGTTTGAAGGAGGAAACCACTACCAGAAGCAACATGATTTTGCTGCAAGACAGGCATATGTAACGATGACTTAGCGCAGCTAAACAAATGCCTCATTAGATACGGTTCTCCTGACAACAGGCCAGTGAAAAATCTAACAATCTACAGCAAAACCATCAATTGTTATGGGCGTTATAATATAGGTGTGCAGCTGGACGAAACATAGACATCGAACCCCCACAGACGATTTAAATACCTTGACGAAACATACATGTCAAACCACGCTGAATGGTTAAGCTGTTACCAGGCAATAGTCATGTCACAGTATTGTAGAAATTTTATGTTATTCTGTATTATCTGCAGAATGAGGATGTGGTTTACACTATCTTAGTAATGCACCTTGAATCAATCAAAACTTGAACCAACAACTCCATTTGTAGATTAACCTGAAATGTAACAAATTTCTTCCACTGCTACATGTTCCTTGCAATATGCCTATATGACTGAGACATTTCATTAGCTTACACTCTTCAGCCCTGAAGACTGAGGTACTATGTTCCTGCAGAATGTTGGTATCCACCTACAAGCCTACACAGCATCACATCCCAGAAGATTACTATTTTAAGAGAGGAAATGTGTTGTTTTGCTATGTTTCCTTGATGTGTAGCATAAGTGATATATAAGTGCTAAGTTGGCCAGACATAGTTAGTTCGGGTGTACTTTTAATAGATTTTGGTATGTTAAGATGAATCATTTACTAATCATCTGTTGAAATTTTGAGTGAATGTGTTTTTTGTATTTTGATGGATATGAACTGAGGTTCATTTCTTGCTGTAAATTCCTTCTTGTTCTGAAATATCTTTGATATGTTGTGTGTTATATGTTGCAGGTATCATTTAAAGGATGTTATTGTGGGCAAGATATACTTCTTGTTGGTGCGCATAAAAATCAAGAATATGGAGATTGCAATCATCAAGCGTGAAACAACAGGCTCAGGTTGGTTGTAACTATGTTGCCATATAGTGCCTGACCAAGTAAATGGCATTATATTTTATGTAGTTTTAATTTATTGAAATTCATAGAACAGAGTAAGTTTTTTTTATTTCAAAGTTAAAGAAGCATGTGAAATGTTTGTATTTAGCCCATGTAATTTATATTGTCACATGCATTAGTGACAAATAACATGGGTTCTGGATTTGATGAACAGGTTTATTTACTCCTTATACACACCACCAGTAATTACATGTAATTATAATGCTATCACTATTTCAACACTATATTCACTGTTGCATGCACAGTAGTCATCTCCTGGTAATGCAATTAAAACACAGGAACTGTAACAGTCTCACTGAATTACACACTCCACATACTACATTGCCACACTCTTGCAACTAACTCACAACTACACTGCACTCAGAGTCAGAGTCAGAGTTACATTGCGACTGACGGTCAGTCAGTCAGTAAGTCTTGGTGTCGAGCCCCATTTGGGGCTCATGACCGGATATTAATTATTATCGTTTGACAGTTACGGTCTTGTTTCTGTGGGGCGCCTTCTCTGACGAGAGGACGGGTCTGTCTTTTGTATACGCTGCTGGTCCTTGCCAGCGCAGTCTTACTCGGGTCCGAGTCCCTTGGGCCTCGCGACCATATTTTACTGTCTCAGAATTGAGACTTCCCTTTTCGTCGCCTCCTACGACTCGCAGGGTCACGGTGGAGGTATTCGACCCCGCCTCCACACGGGGTACTGCACTAAGCTACAGCATGTTGTTATATAGGCTCTGCATGGACCACACAGAAAACATGAGTCACATGATTGCTACCAGGTGAGTTCATTGGCACACTTACTGCTGCCTAGCAATGAGCTATAACATTCATACACTGAGACACAGTTTCCATTGTTGTGCGTTGAAATGTGTTTACCGAGCCATTGCCTAGCAATGCTTTGAGCAAATCTGTTACAATATTTAAGTCAGTTTGTCATCTTTTAGAAAGAACTCTTAAATTGGTGTCAGCATCAGAGGTCAGGAAACACAACTTAATCTGCTGATCACTGAAATTCACTTTCCCATGCATATACAAATGTACAAGAAAGGTGTGAAAAATGCAAGAAAATTGTGTATATGGAAAAACGTTTATTATATAGAGGGAATGATTTTACCATTTAGTAGAGTAAAGTTTAAAGTTTTGTTTTTGTTGGTATCAGTGGTCACGCATCCCTTGAATCACCAGTAGTCATGACTGTGGTTCAACAGAAGGTGAATTGCATTTTGTGGCACATGGAGTTCAAATCTGTTACACATGTTTAGTGTAAGTTTTGGTTAGTGCACGGAGGTTCAGCTCCAAACTAAAAGTCCATTAAGATATATGATAGATATTTAAAAGAAACTGGCAGTGTTGTAAATCAGAAATCTCCAGGATGTCCAAGGTCATTCAATGAAGACAGGTTAGTTAAAGAAATGTTGGTATGTAGCCTGTGCAAGGTGATACGCACAACAGCAGGCAGCTGCAGCTTTCCCACTACAGAGTTCATGACATATACAGACGTTAAATTTACATATGTACGAATTACAGTTGTGGCAGCACTATCAAACCAGCCAGCTGTGATTCTGTAGAAAGAGACTTCATAAGGAAATGCTGCATAAAATTTACGGTGAGGAGATTTACTTGGACCTGTGAAACAATGCGAAGGATGCTAAAAATAGAAGTAGAAAGGATACACAGATTAAATTTTATAAGTAATAGCAGTTGCTGTGGTTAAGTATAGAAATGAAAACTGGGTTATGGTTAGATCTGAAAGGAGACAAATTGAAACACCAGAAATGGGCTTTTTAAGGTGTGTCTCTGAACATACACCTACAGTCCATGACAGTGCACAGTGCATTACAGATACATATTTTAGAAGGAAGAAATCAAGTGTATCAAAAGAAGTGGCATGATCACATCTTAAGACTGGACTCTTCAAGACTGACCCCAAAAAGTTAAGAATTAACTAACCACATGGACAGAGGAAATTTGTACGACTGAGAGGATTATGGAAGAATAGTCTTTGAGTTGGAATGGGCTAGTAAAAGCCTACTTTGAAGTATGTGATAACGATGACAACGGCGATGATCATTGGCTACTCTGGTTAGAGGGTGAGAATATTTCCGGATCTCTGGTCAGCATCATCTGAATCTTTAATCTCTTCATCCAATTGAGATGTCTTTCTGCTTTGAGTTCCTGTCCCACATAAATCACACTCTACAGATGTGACTGCAATGAATATGTCCCAACATGTTTCCGTATGTCCAGGCATATTTACGGATTGCTTCACTGAGTGACGGGGCTCATATGGTAACACTTCGACATATTCATGAGGTCCCCAGTTCAGAACTTGGCTTAGACACCAACTACCCTGACTGAGGGTATTCCCCACTTTGCTTCCCTGCAAGCAAGTGCTGGGACAGATCTTTTAACACACTTGTGATGGTTCGCAAGAATCCTTGTACTTCTGCTGGCTAATGGTAGGTGTCAGGGCCCAAGAATTCTCATTTTCATGCACACATCAAGTTTCCGTTAGTTGATGTCACCTGTTTGTAAGAATGATAACTTCTTAATTCTTGATCATAGAGTAGAAGCCTTGTAGATGTGTATGCAGCATTTCCTCCAATGCTTTCCACTACCGTTATGTTATAAATAAGTGTTTATAAAAGCAGGTTTAAATCGCCCTGTCCACAGGGTGTAACTGAGAAGTATGGCCAGCCACAGATGTGTTAAATAGGCCCTGACCTCTTCCTTCCCAGTTCACACAAGATTATCAGATGCAGTTATCCATATCATTCAGTGCTAAATTATCACTGAAATTGATACTTCATTACCTAGCCTAGAACCCATCCATTCCTTCTTTCAGTCAGTTATAGTCAGGGTGTTTCTGTGACATATTAGCTTAATGAAGACTGAGAGTGCAGAACAGTAAAAGGTAAAGATATCCCTCTACTTAAGCACTACACCTTGAAGGCATATGGGGGAATAGATGTATAGATCCAAGTTTTCTTGACCTCAGTACTAGTAGGAGGTGAGCAGTCAGTTTCACATTAATTAATTGTGGGAATATTGAAAAGACAACAACTGAAACATTAGTTAATGCAGGTGGCACTTGGAGATGCAAAAATGAACTGAGCATGACTTTTTTTAATAATGCCATAATTTTATGAGCAGCTGGGATAGCTCCATTGGTACAGTGACTGGCTATGGGCTGGACATCCAAGGGGTTGGAGTTCAAGTCCTGGTAGGGTCAAGAATTTTCTCTTTTCCAAGTTGTCCAGACTGTCTCTGGGGTCCACCTAACTTCTATCCAGTGGGTACCAGGGGCTCTTTTCCTGGTGGTAAAGTGGCCAGGCGTGAAGCTGACCACTCACCTCCAACTGTTGCCGAGGTCAAGAAAATGTGGATCTATACATCCATTCTGCCATACACCTTCATGGTGTAGTGCTTAATTAGTTAAGCACAGGAACAATTTTACCTCTACCTTTACTATAATTTAAAGGTGCAGATGTCTGTTGAAAGTGCTCTTGAACCACTGAAGCAATGAATCAGTAGCACAGGTGTGTGGTTTAGTGTAAAGTGATAGAATAGTGGCTCAATGAATTGGCTGAAGAGGTAAGAATTTCGTGTGACTTGTGTCAGATTGCCTTAATTTAGGTTTGGAAGTGAAATATCTCAGCCAAATTAATATTATGACTGATAACAGGGAATGAATTGAAACCATTTGTTTGTGGCTCTTGGCTTGCTTCAATATGAAAATAACTTGTTAAAAATAAGTGACATGATCGAATAGCTTAACAAAAGATGTCATCCATTGCTAGGTAGTGGCACAGTAAACATGCTATGATGTCATCAGATAAGTGAGCCATTGTTACACAATGAATAAACATGCAACAGTGAAGAACTGTTGGAGACAGTGTTTCCTGCGCTGTCTGACCTGAAGCTGAATAATGAGAACCAGTGTGACTGATCAGCTGTCTTGAGAGTTGATAATTACAGTAATGAATTAGTTGTGAGACAGTAAGGTAAGGAGATGAGCACAGGAGAGGACATTTTTGGGATCTGTGACCAGGCAAGACTGGTGAAGACATAGCAAACCGGGAAGATTTAGCATGTGTTGTAGTAAGAAGTAGAGTGCAGGAGTCAGTGAGAGCATTATAATTACATGTGGTTGTGATTTACAAGGGCTATTCATAAAGTAACTTCTGGTGAACTGTTAAAAAACAGCAATAGAAAAAAGAATTTTATTATATACAGAAAATACATACATACATAAGCTACTTCTCAGGCCACGCCATAGCTCAGGCGGTTAGTTGCTGGCTTTCTAACGTGGTGGCCCGAGTTCGATCCTGGGTCTGGCCAAGTGGGATTTGTGGTGGACAAAGTGGCGCTGGGGCAGGTTTTCTCTGAGTACTTCAGTTTCCCTGCCAATCTTCATTCCACCAAATTCTCCATCATCATAATCCCCTGGGGCAGGTACAATAGGCCAATCAGTGGCCGCCATGCCAAGCGGACCCAGTTGGACTCCACCACTCACCGAGTGAAGTATAAAAAACTACTTCTCAACATAGTCACAGCTGGAATTGAGGCACTTGTCTTGGGGAACAAGTTTTTGTATGCCTGTGTCAAAACTGCTGCTGTCTGTGAGCTCAACCACATTTTGACACCTTCCATCAGCTCATTATTGTTGAAGCACCGTGATCTTAACCAGTTCTTCAAGTAGGTAAACAGGTAGTAGTCATTCGGAATGAGATCAGGGCTGTAAGGACGGTGGTCAAGCAATTCCCAGTTGAAATGCTCCAGTGGTGCTTGTATGCAAGCAGCTGTGTGTGGGCATTCATTGTCATGGACGAGCACTACACTGGATGGCCCTATGCAGTTTTCTTAGTGTTTTTCAATACATTTCTAATGTTATTGTCGTCCCTTTCTGCTTGAATTTCACCATCAGCACTCCTTTCCTGTCTCAGAAAGCA